CTGGCAGTTAGAGCCCTATTGCAATATAAATTTCCAGGATGCATAATTTAGAGATTGAGTGGTGTCAATTGGCCCGCAAGATCTTGCGACTTAACACCGTTAGATTTCTTTCTGTGGGGCTATGCGAAAGATCGTGTTTATGCCAACAATCCTCAAACTCTTGAGCAACTGAAAGCCAATATCTGTGAAGTTATGACTGAGATATTACCGATAATGTGCCGAAAAGTCATTCAAAATTACATCAAAAGGATTGAAGCCTGTTAGAAGTTCTATGGAGGACATTTAAATGATATTGTTTTTCGCGTATAATGGCAAGGTTTAATCTTTATATTGAATTAAACTGTTCGTCTCCATATCAATATTTTGTGTGTATCTTATTCCTTTACTTTCGGAAGCATAAAATGGATTACCCTGTATTTAGAGCTCTTCTACAGTATGCAGCACTAGTGTTCAGAATTTTTATAAATCTGAATATCGAATACTCGTTTAATGATTTATTTGAATGGGGAAATTATTCGAATATCTAACGAATATTCGAATAATCGAGTATTTGAATAATCGAGTATTTGAATAATCGAGTATTTGAATACTCGAGTATTCGCATATTCGAGTATTCGAATGATCGGGTAATCGAATATTTAACAAATATTAGAGTATTCAACTAGTGAATAAATGGTAAGTACATGATTTCAATGTGATGATCAAAAATCATGTAAATATAAAGGATTTTTCACAGCCACCTCCTCTAAATTTTGAAATCGCATCATTGCATGTGGCACATAGAATTTCTTTATGCTTCAATTTGATACGAATACACAATAAATAATTGAACACATTCGTTAGAAAATAAACAAATGCTTGTAGAATATGAATAATTTATTTTATATAAGTATACAAAGTGCATATAAAGATATTTGCACCTTGTGAGTTTGATAATCTTGGTGTATTCGAGTATTCGAATAAATATTCGAGTATTCGAATAAATATTCGAGTATTCGAATATTCCAGTAAGTATTCGAACATTCAGATATTTGAGTTATGACTAGCCATAATTAGCCGCTTCTCGAATAGTCGAATACTCGAATTATTCGAGTTTGATTCCGAGCCCTATGCAGTACCTTTCTGTTGATATGCGACGAGACGTTTCTTGCATATTAGTTTATAATGAACCATTTGCTAATTTGGGTGCAAGGTTTTCTCCCTGCTGTCTTCAAAATTGTATTGTTAGTAAAATCTTCAAATCAAAATTGTAAAATATTATTGTTAGTTTATAGTTGGTGTTAAGAAAACAAGATAAACTGCGATTTATGTTCAACGTGAAATGCTTCGAATGTTTATTTAACTAAAGCACTATCTGAACTAAATATTTGAATTCCAGATAAACTGACATGCATCTACAGAACATTTTTCAGTACCGGTCAACAGTTGCTATGATCTAACCTATCAGCGTTGGTAAGTCAATTTTTCCAATTTTATGATTTGAATATGTGGCGTTATCATGAACATGTTACTGTGATGGTTTGAAATTAGCGAAGGTGAAGATTTACGGGTAAATGTCCGCAAACACCAATTGTTTTGGTGAAACACCGAACTTTTGCTTTATTGACTTTATTATAAATTTATACTTTCACCGGCGCATCTCGACAAAGTCATGAGTTAGTTGGAATACTGCTGGAAACTATGGATGATAAATGGATGTTGCAAACTTTTGACTCCTTTGTTTCATGCCGTTCGTCATACGCTAGTCCCCGCAATGTTTGGAAGCGGGCGTGCAATTCCAGTTTTATATGACATAAGTTTTGTTCAATGGCTACTACTGCAAATCGTAATCAGTTTTCTGAAACAAGCCCTACTTGAAAGTCACAGAGCAAATTATTGTTTCAGATTTTTTCAAAGACGCACTTTAAAATCGTGTTTGAAGAGATTTCAGGGAAATAGTCAGCAGAAGTGTGAACTATAAACCGATACATAAAAGTTAACTGTCTCAAGCAGTATTCCGTAACAAAAGTCAAGCTGTTCGGTGTACTTTCTGAAATATCCACAACAGTAACGTTGCATATTTTTTTCCAAATTCTTGACAAATATATTTAGCCCGTTGTTTGATTGGTGACGAAAATTTTGCATATATAGTTCAGAATATCAGGTCTCTGTGTAGTTGTAGCAATATGCGGTTGCGTTCACACTTCACACTCACAAAATTCCGTTAGAGGTTTGAATATCAACAAATTTATTTAAAACGGTATCGGCACAAGTCAATATGGCATTATTTTTTATTTTTTCTGTACAGGACAAATAGATCCACTGTGAGAGTGTGGTTTTTTTCTCTTAGCCAGAAATACTCCCAAAATCAACAAATCATCTAGGAAGTAAAAATTGGTTACCATTATTCAAGACCCAAATGAGACTTATGGGAAAACTCATCTTTGCTACCTGCTGGGCATCTGAACAACTTTTTTAAATCTGCGATTGTACCGAAGTCGTTTGTTATTAAACTTTTTACCACTCATATACCATATTCATGGCCGTTTTAATCCGCCGCTTTCTTCTCAGTCACTAAACTTCGTGAAATACAATATTCGTATACGAATTTAAGTCGTGAGGCGATAAATTTCTTAATAATAAGCCGAGACCTTCATTAATATTGTGACAGTTTTGAACACTCTACTAAATGTTAAGCATCTAAACTGCTACAAAATATATTTTTTCAGTAAATTTTGCAGATCATTTTTATTACTACATGATTTAGTAATGTTGCAGTTAGTTACCGTAATGCTAAGTGGTGAAAAATGTATTCGTTCTCATATAGCTATCCTCGGTAGCAGTCTAGTAATATACCTGCGTCTTATGACATGCTCTTACCCCTTGTTCATAACAGAAAGCACCTAAATTCTTAAGCCCTTAGGCTGACCGAGGCCGAGACCTGATATAACCGAAACGTTGGTTCAAGGAAATTAATGATTTTGCCTCTGACCGATTAACCCACACACTTCAACAAACAAATTTCATTAAATTAATATTTCAAACTGAAATAGTTGAACTGATTCGTTTAAGATGACAGAAAACTTTAGCTATTCAGTAATATATTAAGTTGGGCTTCAACTATAGTACTGTAACTAAACTTTCTTACAGGAAGCGCAATGTTTTTAAAAAGTGTTCAAACTGGTTTGATGAACGTGTGATTTTTTGATTCTCCTACATTCCGATTGTACTGTTTTTAGTTGCATTTAAATGCAGTGTATCGAGTAGTTTCGAATACTTTCAGCAATGCAAATAAAATCACTGAAGTAATTAAGATGATCCACTTTGAGACAGGATCCTAAATATTTGTGCTTTCCTCCCGCACTGATGCTGTCATATTTTTATACTCTCATTCAATAAAAACTATCAGTCTCAAATCGGAGCAAATAAAAGTTATAATGGACTAGCACCTTTGCTGAGGATATTATGGGAATCTACTAAACTCCTAAAATTAATTTGAAACCTACATATTTTGTTTCCAGGTCTGTTTATGTTAGTTTCTGTATGCTAACTCACTATTCAAATGACAAACCATTTTTCTATTTGAATCATTATGATATGTATGGCTTTGATTGAAAGTATATTTCTTATTCAACTATTATTCTTCATCGTCGTTTAGTACAAAATAAGTTGTGTCATATTCCAAAAACTTACTTGTAAAGACAAACGTTCAATGCGAGAAAAACTTTAATAACGGAAACACAGATAAAAATAACAGTTTGCAATAAAACGTTATTAGACAATTTAAAATTACTGCGAGGGTAACTGTTCGTCGTTCCGAACCGTACACTGAAAAACATTGAAAGTGTCTAGATGAAAGTGGGTTTTCTTGCTTCTTTTGAATTATTGTCTAACACCTTACGTTTGTTAGGTGTTTTAATACTATTTTTATTTATTTATTTTATAGATTTTTGCCAACAGATTGCTGATTATTTTCTAGTAAAAGTAAATAGCATATGAAGTATATCGATAATCGTCGCCAGCTCTATTTACATCTACGTAACTGCCAATTTTCCGACAGGCAGTTTAAATATGAATTTGTGAATTCAGCTGTTCATTTTTGTATATAGTGGTAATATCTTCAGGTAATAGTGGTATTATCCATGTAGTGATTGGATGATCTAAAACCAACACAAACCACACATCTAATGCGAGATTGTTGTTGGAGAATACTATCTAAACAATTTCGGACAACAAATATTAGAAAGTTTTGACCGATCTGAACTTTTGCAACCTCCTCAAAAGTGCCTCGGGTTGCAAAATGTTAGTCCAGATTTAATCGTATCCAAAAGCTGCCTAGTGAAAGCCTAAAGAAAAAAAGAAAAATCAAGGATATTAATGGAGCATTTTTAAGTAAAAAAATTGGAAATAGTTTTTTTGAAGAGACACCAGAATATTAAAGCAGAAGATCACAAAGTGAACATCAGGGTTTTCGAAGAAAGTTTGGACTATGTCGATGACAGTACGTGTGTAAAAGTTGGGTGAATAGGAGAACCTGGAAGTGGAGCAAAAAAGCTGTATGGAAAATACCATAATATTACAGTGATAATTTTCATTGTTACAATTGAAGAAAAATAAATCCAGGCGTTAGTTATTGAGTCACATCATATTAAAGAATCTCTGCTTGGATGTCGTTGGTTTTTATATAGTTAAAAATTTACTAATAGAAATACATATATATATATAATACATGCATTTGCTCTGTTCATGTCATGTGTTTATTAGAACAAATCATCGTCATCATAATCAGCCTCTACTGTCCACTGCTGGATAAAAGCCTCTCTCATATTTTGCCATTATTTATGGTCCAGTGCCGTGCGCATCCAGTTTCCAGCGAGTCTCCATATATCGTCACTTTATCGGGCTGTTGGGCGTCTATTTCTGTATGATACACTCTTGATCTCCATTGTGATATCTTCCTTATCCATCGACTATCGGCTACTCTGGCCACGTGACCTGCCCAGTTCCACTTCATACGCAGAATGGTCTCTACAGCATCTCGCACTCTAGAAGGAGTTCGGGGAGACGATGTGAGGTACCATCTACGTCTAGTGAGACCTCGAGACATCAGTGAGGCTCTAATTCGAGCTTTGGAGTTCGAAGCGTCTCGAGTATCGGTCCCTTCAGCACCAAGAGTAAGGCTGGCTTCGATCGACAACGAACGGGATATACTAGCTGGCAAACTGGACAACATATACGACACTTTACAGAAGATGATGGCCGGTTGTAATAGTACTCGCCCGCCAACTCAGGAAGCGCCACAAAGAAGGAGCATAAGGTGCTTCAATTGCGGTAAATTGGGACATATCAGGAGTGATTGCCGCAATAGAGCACGAAGTCCGTCACCGTCGCCTAGGGAGCCCAGTGGTGACACTAACATCAGCAGGCCGCAGGAAAACTAGTTCCGGTCAATGTCCGGGGGCAATTGACCGAGCACATGAAGACCCCCAGGATCATCAAAATTGAACACTGCTCAGGAAGACTGCACGGACATGCCGACGCACTACTACACGCATGCCTACCGTGCAAAGAGCACTATAGGCATTGTCAAAGAGTAGAACAACAGGCTGGAGTCACCTCAATACGAAGAACCAAAGTAGAGCTTAATAAAGGGTGGACTACAGAGGAGCTTAAACGAGAACAAATGGAGGACCCAATAATTGGACCCATTCTCAAAGCGAAAACCGAGGACAAAAGGCCAGAGTGGAAAGACATATCTGATAAGGATCCCCAGGGGCCCAGTGGGACTCTTTAACACTGGAAAATGGCTTATTGAAGAGAGCCTGGGAAAGTGCCGATGGCAGGTCTGTCGTAAGCCAATTGGTTGTCCCTGAGAACAAGAGATCAGAGGTTCTTAA